ATTATCTTTTCTTTTTATCTTTGCTTTTAAATGAGTGTTTTTAGATATCATTTTATAATATGTTTCTTAATGCTCTGAATGTCTTTCATTTTTGTAAAGCACTTTGAATTGCCTTGTGTTGAAAGGTGCTATATAAATAAACTTGCCTTGCCTTGCCTTTAAGCAAACACACATTTGACTAACTATAATAACAAGATCATTCTTTTAACACTGGTGTTCCAGGAGTTAAGGCCCTGCATCTAAATGCTTCAAAAATGTTTTTGTTTTGTGTTGCCAACAGCTGGAGGCGTCCTCACTTCCTAAAGATAATGCCTTGACAATTTCAAACACCTGCATCAGAGGCCCAGGATGTATTAAAGAAATAGATTTGTCATGCAAGCAAAGCAAAAATGACAGCAATGGGAGAAGTGATGCAAATCCATACAGGTGAGGTTAGCCTTTAAGTGCTTTATTTGTTTTATTGCAAATATCTTGCATTGCATTATATACACTTATCATTTTTAAAAGAATAGTTTCAGCCATCACTCATATAATGGGCATGCAGCCACTATCACCTTCCACTGTGTAGTCAGATCAGACTTCAAACCTGTTGTCATGCCCTGGCTCAAGGACGGACAAAAGAAGCAGACCACACATGATTCATATCCAATTAAAGTGCATTTATTTAAAGAAACTAAGTTAATTATTATGAAGTCAGTTAATCAGTACTGTGTGTAGTCTGTGTGGGTGTGTGAACATGTATCAGTATATAAAGCAAAGACAAACAAACCCAGATCCAGTAGAGCCAAGCAACCCAAGAGGAGAGAGGGCGACTGACCAACCAGACACCTCGCTGTAAACAAGCAGTAACACACACACACACACAAACACACACACACACACACACACACACACACACACACACACACACACACACACACACACACACACACACGCACACACGCACACACACACAGTCAGTTTGTCAGCTGCAGAATAAAAGTTTGACTGAGTGAGTGGGGGAGGAGGAGGAGTTGTTGACAGGCTGCTGCTGATGTAAATAAGGTTCAAGTGAGGTTGGTCTCGTCTTCTTGTCACTGTGAGTCTGCTTCACAGTCCTGCAGGCTGACAGAGGAGGAGACCATGGAAGAGGAGGGGGACACCCACCCGGAGATGAAGCATTTTTCTGTGCCGTGGCCTCTTCCCAGGTTTCGCTCCCTAAGTGACACTTCAGGATTTCGCTCCAGAGTGCTGTTCAGGCTCAGAGGAGCTCGATCAGGTAGGATAAATCACAAAAACTGAACTACAGAGCCAACCGTCTTATCTAAATCTAACCATATGATGCTGTTTGTTTTATAAATTACAACCTATTTTCTGAGACTTCAGATTTAAAATCATTTTGGTTTTTTGGGTGTATATAATGACTTGTTTCTTTTGGTGCAGCAAGTTATACTTGTTGCTCCTGCAGTGCTTTTCTATATGACTAATTCAGCAGCGGAGTGGCTTCCTGCTCTCATACACAGAAACACTTTCCTCTTCCTTTCACAATTTCATTTTTTGATATCACAAATAAGACACATTCAACTTTGTCTGTATTAATATTTACAGACAAAGTGTTTTCTCCTTTTTTATTGAAGTTCATCATAAAAAACTATGATTAATTGCATAAGTATAAGTACACTCCTTTATTTTTACACACCCACCTAAATCATCACTGTTACACCCGCACAACAAAATGGGTTGAATGGAGATTATATTTGAGGTGAAGTCATTTTATTTGTCATAAAACCAGTAACTGAAATGTTAACACACTGGTCTGTGATTATCCTGGATAAAAGTACAACATGTGCAACATTATAAACAAATGTGCAGTCTTGTGAAGTTCAAAATGCAGCTTCTATGTGGTTAGAAATGCAGTGTCCTATTTGTACTTATTTGCGTCAATGTACGTATTAAGTTTACCTTTGACGTTGGGTTTTTTCTGTAGGTGTCAAAAGGTTAGAAAACATTTTTTTGTCATGCTTTGTAAAAATGCAGCTGCAAACTACACCAACAATGAATCCTCAGCGTCTTATTTAAATGTCAGTTTCACAGTTAGTGTGCCTGAAGCCTTTGGCTATAGAGCCCTGGCAGTCTTAAATTGTTTCTGTGGTTAAACCACTTCCTACCGGCCCGTCATAAGGCAGCCTTTCAGCATTGAACTCAGCATGCAGCTCTGCTCTCCCTCCAAAAACACGCCTACACTTTTTATACTGCAGCCACGAAGTGTATACATATACTGCTTTTCTATAAGGGCTGTCTGGCTCTGCAGTACACATCATTTTATTTTGACCTTGCAGTAAAACTTATACTTAAAGTTGCAGTTATCTGGCTCATCTTCAGCTGCATCCGGAAGAGTTCTGTGTTTATGGTTAAATCGTGATTACAGGAAATGATCATGGAGTCAAAGATGTCCAAAATTGTTTATGTCTCTTATCAGTTTGGATTTTGGGCTTCACGGTTTAAACTATCTAAGAATGACTTGGCTTTGACTGAAAATTAAACACTCAAATTGATTTTTAGATACTTCATTTACAGTCATCACATTTATTTTTATAATAGTCTTATGTGATACAGATTGAGATTATAATTTAGATTTTGCCATTGAAAATGTTCCAGACAGAAACAAATCTCCTTACAAATTGTGATGTGATAAAAAACGAAATAAAAACGGTTTGAAAATCAAGCAGCAGAGGGAGCTAATTCACCTTTTGTCAGAGATCCTGAAAAACCATGTGCATTAAAATGGCAGATCACATATGTTGACCATTGTTGCATACATCCCACTGGGTGAAGCTTGGAAACAGGCTGGGGGGACAGAAAGCGAACATAAAAAACATGTTTGAAAAATACCTGCGACATGAATAAGATCTGACGTGCAAATCTAAACTTGAAATATTAAACTGTTTTCCACTGCAACAAATGAATTGCAGCATTTCTTTTAACTTGAAGGTTAGCACTTTGAAACTTGAACTTATTAATAAATAATATTTAATATCAATATATCAGCAGTTTTGAGTTTGAGTAGAGAAGAATATTCCCTCTCAGACTCCATCAAATCAAATAATTTATCATAAAAAACATAGATATAAATGTCTATTGAGATCACTTTTTGACCTTTTGAAAATCAGCTGACAAAAGAAAATCTTACTGCATTAGCACCATATATTTGTGGGTACAGAGAGAGATTATTTCCTCTTTTCCCATTCTGTCATTTGTCACCTGTTAGCCACTGATTGGTTTACGGGTAAAGTGTACACACAAGCTGAAAATCTTCAGAATTCTCTCCCCGACCACATAAGAGCACCACAGACCGTGGAAGCTTTTAAAAAAGGCCTCAAAACCCATCTATTCAATAGAGCCTTTCCCTAGACCTTTTATTTATTATCACCCATTTATTTTATTTTTTGTTTTGTATTGCTTTTTATTAATTCTACCGTGATGTGTTGTTTTTATACTGTTCACGGAATCACGCTCACTGCTTGTAGCACTCCAGGATTTGAAGTCAAATATGAAGTGCTTTATAAATGAAACCCATTATTATTATTATTATTATTATTATATTAA